CACCACTTTAAAGCTTGTCAGAATCTCTTTACCAGAATACTACTTGACCCATGCCACCCACTGTACCCGCACCATAGTCAATGTATCTCTACATCTAGCACTCGTTGCATATATAAGCATATAGCAGCACGCACCAAGTCTTCTATAATACCGTACTTGGCACGGTTTCTTACCAACGCTGATCTTGTGATCAGTCCCTTTTCGCCGGAATAGGTTTGTGACGATCTTAGTTTAAGGGATGAAGCAAACCACCTGGGGCGACATGTTACGGTTTCCGGACAACTGTGATGAGTCAAAATTCTCAGGTGACGCCGGAAAATCACGCCTACGTGTTACAGCATCTGGACTACAAACCATAGGTCGAGTGTACCAACAGATCAGGAGTCGTGCGGCCTTGACGGAAGACCAGGAAGACCAGCACGCAATTGACACAGGCTTGGGTGACCAATCAACTTTTGATTTCTTCCCAAACATGAACTGCTACTATTGTGGTCTTTTCCTTGAGTCGCGGTTACTTGGGCTACTGTCGTGCAATTGCCAGTGTGATTCAGTGCCTCCGTGGCGTCCGTGATTCCTAATACGTGACTCGTGATTCCGGATCGGTGTGTATTTCAACCACTGCAAGTTTCCGGCTGATTGAGTTCGTCAAACCGTAACATCAGTCATTCAAAATTGACTAGTTGCACAAAATGCACTCCAGGGAACAATCGGGTCAAGATTTATATCATCTGGGTTATTTTTGATTGAGGTGTATGTCACCGAATACAGTGAATCGTTTCTTGTGGTGATTAGACTATTCCAATGTAAACACACTGTGCTCGAACTAATCCAGTGCTCCTCTGAATGATCATTTAAAATCAGCAAACCACAATCAGAACGTTTTAGACACGTTCTTGAACCAATCTTAAGACCGGGCAGATTCTCGTCCTGAATGCTGTATGATCAAAACCGAATTCATGCGAGGTGATGTCCTTGGACCAAAAACACTACTGTTTGCAGACAATGCCAAAATATGGAGGACAATTACCAAGCCCGAGGATCCATTTGAGCTTCAGAACGCCCTTGACGAAGCCCACAGATGGTCTCTCGCCAATGATATGGAATTCAACGTTGCCAAATGCAAAGTTGTATCAATACGTCACAACGGTCAGTTTCGCTACAATCTCGGACACGAAAATCTACCTCATGCAACAT